TCATACGAGTCATTTGTTAGGTGTTTGATTCACTAAAAAGAACTGTCTCAAGTAATTCATTCGGAGGTCATACGACACAGTCATTTGTTCGGGAGTCATACTACACAGACTCAGTAGCGCCATTTGGTAAAATAAGCAAATATTGGTTCCCAAACCTTATTATACAGCATTTTTACAAATGAATAATGCAAAAAGAATAGCTTTATGATGTATACTCTAATTCTAAGGCACTACTAAATTATTCAACCCTCTTCAATTCATGTTAATTTGGATGATACCGCTTTTTGCCAATACATACAGCTTTACTGAAAAAGCATGTTTCAAATATCACAATCAAGAAGTCAATAGAATGCAAAGAGAATGCCTTTATGATGTATAGAGGCTTTATAGAATTTATGTTGTATTATATACACAGGCTTTATACAGTTGCTTCTAGTAGGCTAGTCTTGGTCACTAACAACTAATATTTAAATTGGATGGTGCTCTTTCAGATCAAGGACCTGTTTGTCTGCTGGTAATGTCATGAAGAGCTCCTCCATTATGTATTAATTCAGCACTGATAAATGCTGCCTTATTTGGGGTCTGTCATGAACAGATGGACCTCTGCTTTCCTCTGATTTGGAACCTCAGATAACTTGCCTGAGCACATCAGGTCATTATAAAATACAGACAAATAAAACAAAATAGAGGACATATAAAATATTAATGATGCTTAATACAACAGCTGTGAATGACTGGCAAATAGGGCAAGCAGAGTAGCAAATTATATCACATCTGCTGTCAAAAAAAACTAGATTTTTACATTTTATGAAGAAAATGAGTGGTGCTTGCCCATGAAAATGTCATCGCCACAATGTGAGCTGAGTGGTTGCCAGGGTGTTGCTATATGGTCGCTAAGGTGTCCTGAGGGTTTCTTGTGTTTCTATGCAGTTGCTAGGGTGTTTTGGACGTCATAAGAGCCCACCCTCAATTCACTATAATATCTTGGTTTCAAGATAAGTCTGCAATAAGAATAAGAATGGAAAATTATGATTATAATGATGAAAATTTAAAAATAAGTTTATTACAAAGCAGCCCATTTTAAATTAGGCCATTTTTAGATGTCTGACATTAAAATAATAATAATAATAATATTTTTAATTTACAAACAATATTTTTACTGTAATAGAACACACCTTTATAAAAACTGCGCAATTTGAAATATTATTTATGTAAAAGCTATATGACAAAGTTTAATACTTAACTTTAAGTAATACACAACACAACACAACAAACACATCATATAGTAATATATAGAGAAACAATTTCATTATTCATTATTTATCATTATTATAAACCCATTTTAAATTAAATTATTAAATAATAAGAATATTTTATGTAATAGCACACACACACACACCTTTAAAAAAAAACATAATTTGAACATGTAAAATATATAATTAGAAAATTTAACATGTAAAAACTACACGCCAAAGTTTAATAGTTATGGTTTTGTTCAAATACCTAACTCTAATTAGAGCAAGCATCAATAACAAGACAACAAAACGGCGATAAATAGGATGGTAGTTAGTTCTCATTACAAACCCGTTAACAGATTGCTGTGACACAAATCATATTCTTAAGGAATATTTAAAACTCATCAGCTCAGTTAATCAGAACTGTTCAGTCTGACTTTAAAAGACTCTCTTTTGAGTTCACAACACATATGCAAAAATGAACAGAAACGAATAACTGTATTCACTAAAGCCCTGGACAATAACACTAGCCTTCTCTGCAACTTTAATTAAAGCGGCAGATCCACCATCGGTTCAGTTCTGGAATGTGAATGGCATGAATGAACGTCCCTCTGGATCTGGATTTTAATCTAAATTCACATGTTCCGACACGTCCCTCACTCAGTTTGATTACTGTAATTGGAGATTTTCCCTCTTACCTACTTTAGTTCTTGGGTAATTCCTGCTTAATATGAATAAATAAATAAATTACACTCCCAACAAACATCTCAAATTCCCTTGAGGAACTTCCACTGCATGTAAGGGATATATTCTGAATATTATAAGAGAATTAGTTTCAGCAATTAGTTTCAGCAAATGGCACAGAATATCGGTCTGATTTGAAATGGAAATCATTTTTGGACCACGGCTGCTTGTTTTCACGCTGGTTAATTGATTCGGCGATGGGCAGGGTGTTGGTTTAACGCGGCTGAACATGTTTGTAATGCTAAAGACGAAGCGCCGGGCCAAGAGCCGACTCTCACGAGCTGAGTTAATGCAGAACAGGGAGATTTATCAGCAGTCAGGGTCAAAACCAGCACACTTCTTCCAGTGTTTGCACATTTGTATTCCACCCACACCTAAAAAGAAATATTCATCCAGGAGTTAACTGCATCACATTAATGAAGCGTAGAAGAATGAAAGAATGTGTGAGAGAGAAAAAGTAAAGACAAAAGCTAAGTTTCCACCTCAGATTAAAAAAAAAAAAAGATCCATCGTAAAATGTGTGTAAACTAGGATTGGGCGATGTCTACCAAATTGGCATCGGACGATGTCTACAGTGAAACCTCATGATGGACGATGACATCGGGGGGGCGGGGCGGGGTTAGGGGTGTGCCTGAAGCATGAAACAAATAACTCGTTATACAGAGCCACTAAAAGGTTAGCTGCTTGCTAGTGGTAGCCTGTTGCATTACAGTACATGAAAGTTCACTTACCACATACACAGAGTAAGGAGAAATGTCTGATAGACGAATGATTTGCAGATCCTGAGCACCAATGACAAACATCTAATCTTGTCAAATGTGTGGTAAGTACTGCCGCTCCATAGTATAGAGTCCTTGTGATCGCGAATCTCAAAAGTGAAAGTGAAAGTAAAATGAGAGCGCGCAATCGAAAGCGGTTTCAATAGCGGCTCCCTGATGCCCGCAATTTATATACAGTCGCCTATACTTACCCAACGATATAATTGCGAGAGGCTATTTATCTCGTAGGCTATTTATTCCCTTTAGGGTTTCCGTAGCACACTTAATTTCCTTTCCGAACACGGAACTGGGATGCGGCGGATTGCGGGAGAGGGGGGAAGGAATCACGATGTCAGCTTAACATCCTGATGTCTGTCAGTCATTGGCGATGGAATATGGCATCGTCTATCAGCCCAACCATAATCTGTATCTTTTTGAGGTGATGTATTCCTTTAAGGTGTGGACACATTAATGAAATTTCGGCAAAATATCGCATGTAGCAATGCATGAATGGCAGCTTGCAAAGAAGTCACTTTCAAAACAAGCAACTTCCTATTGGTCAACATGGCAAATGCGTGGGCAATTTGAACCAGCTGTGAAATCTGTTTGGGCAAATCTTTCGGCTTCACACAAAATTCCCAATTGTCTTACAGCGCTCTATTTAAATTTGCTAAATTAAATTAAATTAAATTAAATTAAATTAAATTAAAAATAAAGCATCCATGTCATTATTTAAAACCAACTTTAAATCATATAATAATAATAATAATTATTATTATTATTATTAATAATTATTATTATTACTACTACTACTACTATTTAGAAATGTAAAACTTTTAATATAAAATTTTTACTTTTTAAAAATTGTATTTTATATATATATATATAATATATAAGACAGTTCTAATCAAACAGCAAAGTTTAGCAGACATTCAATGACATCTTTAGCTAACTGACTGTGGTGTTTCCTTGAGGTGTGTTATGTGGAGCAGTCGGTTCAGGTCATGTATCTGGGTCAGACCCGTATCAGCCTGCTGCCGCCTGCAGGTCTACATGACATAATCTAGAGCAGAGATTCTGAGAATGATGATTACTGAATAAGAGAGAGATTCACGATTTATATGCCTGGTGCACTTCCTCTCCATCACATCCATACTGATGTTTCTTTACCCCTATACGTCTGACAGAAAATGTCACAACTCAATCCATCACCTCACTTCTGACATGCTTTTCAATCTCCAGTCTCTATTCAATAAATGACTTGCATGAGAGACAGACTGATAACCCGCGCATTAAATTCCATAGATTTACCACAAGAAATCAACAAATTCTCCTTGAGAGACTCTAGAGGCAATGAGTCAAGTGCAAAGCAACACACTGGCACCAAAAGAGTATTTCTAAATCATTCATTTTTGACAATATTTTAACAAAATCTGCAAAAAAAACAACAACTTGCATATCAAGGTCAACAAATGCAAAAGTGCATTGGACGCTCTTCATTCGAGCATCTGTACATGTTTTACATAACTCGAGACTTGCCCTGCTGTGGTGTTTAGTGTTGGATTAGAAATGCTTATCAAATCCACATTTGGGTCTTGGATGCTTTATAAGAGAAAGATGGCTGCTGGCTGTCTCTCATATAAAACAGGTGTTTGTGTTCACATGCAACAGGCATTTGTTTGTCCCAGGCCAAATGCGCAACCCCTTCTGTGTTTACATGCAATCCTGAAGAGAAGATGACCGTGTTCACTCTGAAACGCATCTTTCACTCAACATGTTCACAATTACAGCACGGAGTGACGGACGGTAAACAAGCAAATAAAATCTACTCTCACAGGAATCCAAACAAGCCATCTCACTGACACATCTGTAAATAAACTAGTACATTAGCATGCACCTCAGGCACCTTATGGGAAGGGCCTCTTGGGATGCGAATCTTCAGGAATGTAGTGATTCTGGATGTGATTCTACTTAATGATTCCATTGAACTGAATCTTTTTGGACTATTTTCTGGAGGTTAAAATGAAATTCAACCTTGAACAAGAAATGACTTCATTTAGCTTCTACGAACTACTTGTTCCCTGTTATGAGGAGAAAAGACAAAAAATAGCAGCATGGGTTCACAGCAGGTGATGTGAGGACGGGGTGATAACCGAGTGGCGCGGTATGTGCTCGAAGTGACACACTCCATTCACAACACTGCGTGAGATCTGAGAGCGAGAGCCCTGCCGACTGCCGCAGATGACAATGAAAGGACACTTACTCTGGCGAGGAGGCTGATGGGGTCGAGGCCGGGCGGAAGCGGAGACAGATCGTGGTTCTCCTCACCGAGATAAACCTGCAGCGTCATGCAGAGGTGCCTCAGGCCTTCTTTCTTCTCCTCGCTCATGTCTGCAAGATCTGCACACACAGAACACAGCGCTTTCAACAACAGCGATACATATGAATGATTCTGCTAACAAGCAAAAAATGTTGTGCTCTTTCAAAAAAAAATATTAAACTAAACTAATGTTATAATGATATGTTTCTAAAAACATATTACTATCTTATTAAATCAGAGTATTACCATAGTACATGGGCAAAAATATGGTATTAAAGGGGTCATATGATGCGATTTCAATTTTTCCTTTCTCTTTGGAGTGTTACAAGCTCTTGGTGCATAAAGAAGATCTGTAAAGTTGCAAACACTAAAGTCTCAAATCCAAAGAGATATTCTTTATAAAAGGTATATATATATACATATATATACATATATACATATATATATATATATATATATATAAAACATAGTATTAACAAGGTAAATGTCCAAAAAAAGGGCTATTACTGTGATACCTAAAAAAAAAACATGGTATTACCATGGTACACTAAAAAATGCTGGGTTAAATGCAAAACAACCCAATCGCTGGGTTTGTCCATATTTTACTCAGCACTTGGTTGTATTTAACCCAGCATTTTTTAGAGTGTAGTGTACCTGACTAAAATCATAGTGATACAGTATACAGTATGTCTAAAAACTGTCTAAAAAAAATGTAAAAAAAACCCCCCAAAAAACATGGTAATGTCACGTTCAAAAACATGGTATTATTTTTGTAAATGTTCAAAAACATGGTACTGCCATGGTACATTTCTACAAAACACTGTATTAACATGGTAAATGTCCAAAAAGACATGTTGAAATCAGTGTTGTCATTGTTAATTAAATCAAACTATTAAAAATCATTTTCATTACTGAAATAAAGCAGTTCAAGCTTAAGTAGTAAAACTGCTAAAACTGAAATAAATTTGAAGCTAAATAGAAATATTTAAAAAAAACTCATACATCTATGAAAGCACATACAAGTATGAAAATTTAAACCCAAATTAAAATGAAAACTCAAAAAAAGTAAATAAAAGCAAATTCTATAATGGAACATTTTATGTAAAACTATAATGGAACATTTATAATGGATTTTTTTCTCCATATTTTATTACCATATTGGTTTTGTGTGTGTGTGTGTGTCTATTCTCTTTATTATTACTGGTTTATTTCATTTTATTAACTTAAATTATATGTATGTCTGCACTATGTCTGTACTTTCTGCACCCAAAGTTCCACCTACAAAACTTGGGTATTTTAAGGTTATGTATCAATGAAAAAATGTATCATCCTTGTAGCTGTTCATAAATTACACTGGATGCAGTAACAAATAACGTCAAGACTAGAAAAACAAAAAACAGAATTAAACCTAATTTACCTGAAAAAAGTTCACATACTATGTTATCGGTGACCATGCAGATGTAAACAACACTGAGCTGAACCAACACAAGCTGTGAAAAAGACTAATGATGATCAACGAGGATGAAGCACAAAAGAGCCGAAACGCACAATAAGAAACCAGAGGAGGATAAAAGGCTTTTGTGTGTGTGTGTTTTCACCTGTTAGTGTGTGTTTAGCCAATGAAGATGAATCAAAAAGCATTTTTGCTTGTCCTTCTGGCTGCACCAGTAAAATGGATGTCCGATTAGTGTGTATTTGGAAAGAAAGAGGTCTGACTAGAGCATGAGAGTGTGTATTTGGAAGAATGTGTGATTTATGTCAGCTTTGCCAAACATATGGGCTTTTTCATTAACCCTCCTGCTCTGATTCATTTCCTCCAAGCGCACCATCAGTGAAGTTCAGTGTGTTCACTGCTGCTGCGGCAGATAGAGCAAACGCTTGACCCACGGCTACAGCTCACGGCTCGTATCTCTC